CATCCAAACCGGAGACCAAAACCAGCAAGTGACCATACCACGACGACCAGGACGACGAGACGAAGTGATCACCGTCGAGATCGCCGCCAGCCGCGCCGCACGCGCCGCCACGCGCCGCAGGAAGGGAGCAGCTGCCGGAGTTTACTCGCGCGCGTGGATCGTCCGATTTCTGATCGGTCAACGCCGTTGACTTCGCCGTGACGTCAGCTTTTTGGATTGGTCAAGTTTGTTCGATTCCGAGAAGATTTGTTTTGCGGTCAACTGTTCGGGCCAGCCAGATCTACATAAATTTTAAGCAGTAAGTTTTCTTCATCAAACCTTTAGATCCACTGCGCATAGGTTTATGTTGAATGTTTGTCCGTGATTTGTGCATATCGAGATCCTCATATGTTCCATCATATTACACGTTAGGAGAAATATGATCTGATCTGTTTCTATTCCATGATCTTAATGATGTATAAATAGAGCTATAGTATGGATCTTAGAATTTTCAATGATGCACTTATCATGAAACAGTTGTGGAGAGTGCTCACCAAACCAAACTTGTTAATGATTAGAGTGATTAAGAGGAAATACTTCTGGAAAACAAACTTAAGTGAGGTTAAAAGCAAGAGTGGGGATTCATAGATTTGGAAAAGCTGGTTGAAAACTAAAGACAATCTCTGTCTGGGAACTAGATATTAGGTGGGGAATGGGAGCTCTATCAATATTTGGGATAATCCTTGGATCACTAGCAATTTGTCTTTTAAACCCACTTGTTACTTTGAGATAGATAGAGAGAAATTTCAAAGGGTCAATCAGCTTTTTCTTGCAGGGAAAAAAGAATGGGACAGGGAATTGATTTTATAAAGCTTTAACCCTATTGAAGCAGCTGATATTCTTAACATTCCAATCAGCCAGGTTGGATTACAAGGGAAACTCATCTGGCACTGGACTAAAGATGGACATTACTCTGTGAAATCTGCTTACCAGATTATGCTTGCAAAGAAGGAAGCAAAACTCCACAAAGATAGAGCATGCTCCTCAACAGACAATCTCCAAAAGATGTGGTTGAAGACTTGGAAACTGCCCATCAAGAATAAACTCAAGATCTTCATCTGGAAGTGTTGGACAAGCTATCTGAGCCTTAATGAGCACTTGTATAAAAGAGGAATGGAGATTGATGTCATTTGTGGAATTTGTGGAGAAGAACCTGAAAATCTGGAGCATCTTTTTTTTCCATTGCACTAGAGCACAAGTTTGCTGGAAACTGCTGGGAATCAATTAGAGTTGTATACTGGCAAAGGAAACTAAATTAAAAACATGGTGGGAGGATATCTGTGTAGCCAAGGGAAGATGTTGCATGGAGGATAGAATAAGCCTCTCAGTCTACATGCTACGGTGGCTATGGAAAACTCGCAACACATGGATGTTCAACAAGGAGTAGAAGAGTAAAAAGTTGATTTTTGAGGAAGCCAAAGCAGAATGGGTGGAATTTTCTAGTAATCAGGGATTTTTGGTGGCTAATAAAGAGACTAAGCAAACCTCCTCCTTGAAGGTAGGACAACACTTTGCTGTCAGTGCCTCTTTATCACCTTCTGGTAAGTTGGGGGTTAGCTGTTTGTCTTGGCAAGAGAATGGAGTTAAACAAGAATGGCAAAAATCAATGACCTTTGATGGCAGCAATCTGGAGGCTGAGTTGTGGGCTATGCGCTGGGGAATTCAGAAAATTCAAGGCATTGGATGGGATGAAGTCTCATGCTCAGTGGCCAATAGCTCCCTGTACCAAACTTTGACATCTCTGGAAACAATCTCAGGCCCCTGCTCTATCTACTATGATGATATTAGATCCCATTCTTCTTGTTTTAAATATATATCCTTTTGCTTAGTTGACATGTTAGATGCTAGAGTTGTAGACTTGGCTATTATGGCTTTACAAGGAACTTGATTAATTTCATTTTCTCTTGTATTTTCATCCTAGTATCCTTTGTAATGGGTGAAATTACTTAGAACCATTTGGTTCTTCGAATGTACTTCAGTTGAGTTTATGAAAATTTGCTAATTTGCCGTGGAAAAAAAAAGAGAGAATATGAATAGGGTTTCTTAAGTAATGAACTAACTATGAGCCAGACTCACTCTTCTAATTACTTAAATAATATTATGGTCCACTAACATAATATTATTGCACTCCATTTTCCTATCCCAAATTACATTTGAGACTCCAATAATAATTACCCAAATTATCTCCCCATGTTTAAGATATATATGTTCATTAACTAATTTGATTATTTATAATCAAGAATTAATTAATATATTATGTTACCAAAGCTAGTGCGTCATTGCATTATTATTATATCAAAATTTAATCCACCTGCAGGGTTTAGCATAACAATTCTTTATTAACTCACTTCAGGGACATCATGAAACTAACGCACATGATGACCGTAAATATCACCATGAAACTAATGCATCATGAAAATAACAACACATCATACATACAACAATATTACCCAAGACAATAAGACTATTGATCTCGCGAACTGAATCTCACCCTGGTAAATAAAATAATAAATACTGCATGTTTATGTCTGTTTAATATCTTACGGGTTGAGATAATCCAGTAACTAATCGAGGCCTAGTTCGTTTACGACGATCGTCATAAAATGAACTTTTTCTCTCTCGGTCCGTACAATATATAAATGTACTAGTGCAACTAATCAGTCAAAACCAACCGTACAATTGACACTACAACCGTTCTGATGGTTTGTTCATTTACATCTGGGTTGTGAACCATAATTCTTTTTCCACAAGTGACTGATAGAATGATCTTTTGTTCACCCGATGATGACCCATTCTATCTAAGTGCAGAACAACATAACATAGTATATTGAACATGATCGGATTAAGTGCATTTGCTTGTGGTTTTAGAACTAGTATGCTTCTGCACTTTCATACGTATTTCAGATGTATTATGAGACTTTGATATATCAGACTATGCATGTTTAATTCTCTTATCT